CATCCCCGCCCCCTCCCCCCCCCATTGACAGGCAGCATAATTGCCATAGGTCCAGTTTCTGTCTGGCCTTGGCCTTTATCTTCTCCCATGCTCTTTGTCTCATCACCTCTGAGTCAAACTCCACCCTTAGGAACTTTACCTCTTCCGAGGGGATGGAAACCCCGAGGAGTGATGGGCCCTTGAACTTACCCAGTACTAGGCAGGTGATTTTGCTTACATTATGCTTGGCCCCTACTGCTGCTCCGTATACCTGGGTTTGTTGTAGTGCTCTTTCCACTGACCCTTTGTCTCTGCATGTGACGTTCAGGTCATCCATGTATGCAAGGACTTTTGTCTTCTCCCCTCTCCTCCCAGGGATTTCTAATGCAGGGACCCTGTCTGAGTCATTGTGCTAATGGTTCCATTGCACAAATAAACAGGATTGGGAAGAGTGGGCAGCCCTGCCTGACACCCGAATCTACTGCAATCAGGGCTGTCAGGGACCTGTTCACCAGGACTATGCTTTCCCCATGGTTTTATGAGACCTTGAAGCACTTTCAAGAGAAATACATGCTGCATGATGCTACCCTAGTGACCCAGGTGAATCATCACAAGATACGTGAGGTGGTAAGGGGAAGAGACACCATGTCACCGGTAGACTTACTACCTGGTGACAGCTGCCAGGCCATGGGGGGGGGAGGGAGCAAATCTTCCACAAGGACCTGCAGAAGGAACACAGACATCTGAGCTGGCAGGCAGCCCACCGGGCACTCCCCAAGAGGGCATGCAGAAACATTACAGGGCAGAGAGGTCCATCAAATTGCCTGAGGCCGACCTGCCACTGGCAGGCAGAAATGATCAACCACCTCTTCTAGGACTGCCCATACGCCAGAGAGGTACGGAAGAAAGTCCATGTGCTTCTGGTAGTGACAGGTTTCAGAAACCTGACCAGGGAAGCAGCTCTCCACAGGCACCTGACTAGACAGCAAGAGTCCCCAACAACTCGCCTGAACCAATTCATATCCTGTTTCAGGTATGCACTATGGAAAACCAGGAACCTAGTCATAAACAGTCACTCAGACCCCACAGAAGAGGACTGTATTAAAATGGGACTAAGTGATATGTACTGGTACTACAGGAAGACAGAAGAGGACAATGGGAAAGAAATGGCAGACCTCATCTGGTGGGCCTGGCATAGACTTTTTCAGGAATAGACCCTCTGAGGAGGGCAGTGGGTGAGGGTATGGGTATAGAGATAGGTGTGCAGGCATAGAGTTGTGCAGTGCAAACTGTGTAACAGGTTTTTGAGCTGCTAAGTGAACCACAAGGGCCACTTGGCAGAGTGTTGGAGATGAAGTTATACATATATTTATTTATTTATATTTATATATATATA